GTATTGTCACTGTCTTACAAATGCAAAACAGCTAAAACCGATTAACCCTTGAAAGAGCAGAGAAATCTACAGTCAAAACTAAGAAACAAAATTTTTAACACATGAAAGGGATAATTTTGCTGTAAAATATTCTTTTTTATTTTGTACATGTCTGATCTAAAACAAAAGTTATTCAAGTTCGAAAAACACAAAAATAATGGATTTTGAAATACCTAATAGTCAGAAATTTTTTTTTGTATAGATGATTTCAAAAAAGTAAAAATATTATTTCTCAGATAATATTCTCAACTATATTGTATATAAATTTGGGATATGAACTATGACTACAGTTTGAGTGGTATTATACCGGGCAAAACAGATTTTGGTATATTGTACATATTAAGACAGAAATAACACATGTGGGTGAAATGTCCTCTCAAAACTTAAGTTTGTACATTGCAAATGGATGATTATAATTTAGGAATAGAAAACATTTTTACTTTGATTCAAACAATATATTAATGTTATGTAAAATAACATTTATTCCTTTGTATCTCAATTACATTTTTAAAATTATCCTTGCTTTAGTTCTTATATCTACCTCATGGAACCTATAATGTTTTTGATTATTTACTTAATTAATTTTAAGTTCAATTTTTATTTGGCTTTATATACCTATATTTTCTTGTACCTAAGACATTTAAAAGATTAAAATAATATACCTTAATAGGTATTTTTTAGTTTACTTCTAATTTTATAGATAATACTTTATTAATCACATTAACTGCTGATTTATTTGTATAGTTGAGAAACAATTAAGAAAWAAAAACAATCATTAAATTAATAATATAATAAGGTAGGATAATAAGTACTTAATAATGTATAGTTGTTTACTGAAAATCATTATCTTTGCAAATTGATATCAGCTCCAATTAATTTGGATAATTAATAAATATTCAAATATCAAATGTACTTAGATTAAACCAATTTTATTTATTAAATAACTATTATAATTATGATTAAAAATCAATTGTTTTTTAGCAACTATTAACCTCCAAAATATAAATTGATTAAAAATGATTTTTAAATAGAAATTTAATATTTTAATTTTAATAACATTGGATGAAAATTKGTTGAAATATGATTTAAGTTTTAGTTCTTATAAAAAAATTTTTTGGTTCTTATCTGTTATTTTTTTTGTAATATTGTTAATTGTATTAAGTTATGGTAGTTTTATTTTATTTAAATCAAATTAGAAGTTTATGAAATATAAAGTTAATTGCCTGAACCATGGCATGTTGTCATATTTTTAGTTAATTATATAGCTAAAAAAATATTATTTTTAATTATTATCTATATTATTATTATTTAATAACCAAGAGAACAAAAATAGGTACTTATCCTTGCCCTTCTTTTCTTATAAAAAAAATAACATTTTAAGTATTTGAAATGTCTTGTATTTTTCAGTAATTGTATTGCAACGTTCTCAGTCTTGACACTAGAATAAATTTAAAAAAATTTTAGGTAAATTTTTTTTCAATTATACTATAGAAAATGCTGAGAAAAATATATAGTATCTTAATCATATTAAAAAATTTACCCAGTTCAATTAAGTACTTATTAATCGTGTAGGTATGTAAGAAGTATAAAAAGCTCATTTGGTCTTTATGTGCTTAATATTATCAAGCTATCACATGGTGTTTGCAAACACCAAGTTCTAAAATATATATGCAATATATTTTTAAAATTGCAACAATAAAAATGTATCAATTTATTTTAGTGTAAAACTTAATCTATACAATATATTAATKACCACAAATTATTTCTTATAATTTGTCTAGGTATTATTTGTTTAAAATTAAAATAAATTTTATATTATTATGTGTTTGGAAAATACATAAAATACAAAAGAAAATTAATTACATTAATACCTACTTACTTATTATTATTTGGCTAACTAAAATTAGTATTGTCATGTCTCAACACAAATCATATTTCTATAATATTTAAGTAATTTATATTATAAATAATTCTTGCCTTTAAAGATATATTTTTCACATTAATTAATCACTTTAAGAAGTTTATTTAGTATGAGCTGTGATTGATGTTGATGTCTGGCTTTCATATACTATCCAAATGTTACCTAATTTGTGATGGAAATTTTATWAAATTTATGTGATTTATTAATAGTACACATTATTTATTTATATTAAACCTGTTTGTTATTATCTATTTTTACTTTAATATTTATAAAGTAAATACGACAATATTAAGGATTTAATGAAAATGTATTTATCAGTTATCATCCTACCACTTGTTGGCATCAAATTTTTATGTTTATTGTATTAATTCTGCTATTAATAATTAATTAGGGTCCTGATTTAAATGGTCTAAAAATTTAAAAAAAGTGCTTTAAATATATAGCAAAAATGTATTTTAACTGCAATAATGCTTTAATGTTAGAATATTCTTTTTTAATTATTCTTGAGCAAGTGATCACACAAACTATATAAATTAAATGGGATTGCGACTTAACACAAATCGAATAATTATAATATGTTATTATTTTGAGTTTTGGATGCACAACAGTTGTTAATCGCAATGTAGATAGATAAGACATTATTGTCATATCAAATACATAAATAGAACAATTAACAAATGAGAAATGGTTAAGCTGAATTATCTTGAGCTAATATTTTTAATTTCCTATAATGTATAAATATGTACTAAAAATTAAAAAAACCTAAAAATTTCAAAAATATGCAATATAAAAGTTAAAAAGTAATCAATTTTCAACTTTCTGGTGTATGAAATGGAATTTGTACTTAAAAAACATTGTCTAGGACTTCCAAAAAAAAATTGTTATACTTATCAAAACAATTAAAAATTCCATTAAACCTATGAGTAGCAAGTAGATACCAATAAAAATTGTAAATGTTTTAGCAAAAATATAAATTGATAATCACTAATATATTCAGACAAGTCATCTAAAGATAATTTAATGCATTTAAGAGATTGTCTACTATTATTTTTCCTTAATTTATTTAATATGCCTATTATAATACTAGTTAAACTATAAGAGAAATTCTCGGAGAAATTTAAAAAAATAATCTGTAGAGCATAATTAATAAGAATATATTGCAATGTTTTTAACTTAATCAGTTATTTCTGAATAAATTAAAATGTTATACATAATTAATATTTGCTATATCTGTATTCTGTATTGATAATTTTTGCTTATGACTTATTATCTATTTATTTTATTTTATAAATCAACGGGTAAAAATCCTTTTTGTAAATATGATGTATAGAATGCATGATATTAAAATATATAAATTAGAATTAGACATATGGTATAAGTAAACAAAAATAAAATCAAGAAAAATACAGATATAATCTCGAATATAAAAATTATAACAATAATAAAAAATAACAACTAATAAGAATAAATAAATCTGAATATTCAGGTTATAGTCTATTCAATTTAAGAGTACACTAGGCGATTGACAAGATCTCGTGGGTACACAGAACTCAAATTGTTCAATAATGTTGGGGCCATCATCTGAAAACTTTGTTATTATTACAATTGCTATTTATTTTATATTCTTGTATTAAAAGAAAAAAACCCATATTGAGGCATACTAGAGCTAGTTATATTATAAAATAAATATTAACTTTATAAATATCATATATGTTACATAGWTTTTTCATTTCAAAATTTGACCACAATAATACATACAAATATATTCTAAGTTGTTTGTTGGGTTAGTGATGCTGTTGAGTTATGTTAGTATTGAATTGTTGTTAATTGGTAACCTTTGATGATTTTATACTATAAAAAACAGATAATTTAAGAGTGGTTAGAAATAATAGCTAATAATTCATATTTATATTGTTAACATAAGATTTGAAAGCAATCTTAAATAATTTTGCTGGGCTTAACTGTAATCACCATATATTCATATTTTCTATACTCCTTGTAATTTATATTATGCTTAGTTATAAATGGTGTTTCATAAAGAACGCAGTTTTTGATTTTGCTATAAATAAAAAATTATTTTAAAAATAATGATACATTTATTTCACTATTTGTTGAAGTTAAAGTGTGGAATGCGATATTGTGCATAATATTACCCTCTTTACTTGCAACGACAGAGTCGTTAACAACATTAATGTTTTCAATAGACCTTTGGGCTTATTTGCGCCCATAAATTTTAATGTTTGCAATATTGATTCAGTCTCATTGAATTTACTGACTAGCCTTTAGCCTTCACTATTGTTTATGCAGTCGTTGCTTCACAACGTTTGAGGATCGTTCGAAGTTTCCTAATTATCGCAGCAACACTCACCATGTTTATATTGGGCTTTAATAAACAAAACTTGTTCATTGTTGCTCGTTGCTCGATTGTATACCAATCCATGATGACAAATAAGCAAAATACACAATATATTGGTTATTCACTAAAAACCTCAATACTATAAGTAACAGAAATTTTAAGAACAGTGCCACCATCCTAACAATAACGAATTGGTCAGGATTTCAAAAACTGTATTCATAATGAAACCCCCCTATATTACCAAGAAAACTAACAAATATCCTACTTGGCTATCTCAAAAACAACTATGAGTAGCATTAGCTCTCCATTAAATTAATATGGGCACTTGAAACTACCTAAGCACACCTTCTCACAAAATAAGAGAAAACAATTTAAAATTAAAAATATTATTGTAAAATAAATACTCATTATATGTCTAGTTTTGTAAAAATAATTTCTTGCTCTGCTTCTTTAAATTAATTATATATAATTTATAATTTGATTTGAATAACATAACATTTTTTCGCTCTATGTTATCAATTCCATATTATCTTACACGTAGACCAGTGTTTTACAAGTATATAATTAAATACACGTGGTATCATACTGTTATTGATATGTATTTATCATTATTATTATTAGGTATAAAATGCAATTTAATTAATACATAGTTTTAATTTGAAATATATTTTTCTCTTTGCAGTAATAAATATATAATGGCCAACAGAGCTGTACCGCAGAGACCTAATGGCCAAACACCAGGAAAAATATGTCAGTTCAAGTTGGTTCTTTTAGGTGAATCATCAGTTGGAAAATCTAGTTTAGTACTTAGATTTGTAAAAGGCCAGTTTCATGAATACCAAGAGAGTACGATTGGTGGTATGTATTTTTTAATCGCCTGCCTCTATTGAAAACCCTAAACTTTGTTATATTATAATCATAAAAATAAATTAATAATTTTCATAATATGATGTATTTCTTTAGCTGCTTTCCTTACACAAACAATTCATTTAAATGATGTAGCTGTAAAATTTGAAATTTGGGATACAGCTGGTCAAGAGCGTTACCACAGTTTAGCACCAATGTATTATAGAGGTGCTCAAGCAGCTATTGTAGTCTATGATATTACTAATCAAGTAATATATATTGAGTCTTATACAACCTGTAGATATTTTTAGATATTAATTGATGAGATTTTTCTTTACAAAGGATACCTTTGAAAGAGCTAAAAATTGGGTGAAAGAACTTCAAAGACAAGCAACACCTGGTATTGTAATAGCCTTAGCTGGAAACAAGTTAGATTTAAATACTATGAGAAGTGTTCAGACTGATGAATCACAAACATATGCCTATGAGAATGGACTGCTGTTTATGGAAACATCAGCTAAAACAAGTGCTAATGTGACCGAAATTTTTAAGGCAATTGGTTCGTAATTAAAAACAAAAATATGTCAAAATATTATTTTATTTTTACAATTAAATTGATTTAGCTGAAAAACTTCCTAAGAATGAAACAACTAATACTGCAGGGCAGGGTCGACGTCTAGTTGAATCTGAAGGAGCTAACAAGAGCCTTAGCAGCTGTTGTAAGTGATACAGTAAATCAAGTCAGTTTTCATATGGATTATTGACATTTAATCATCTAATAACCTATATAGCTTTGTAAAATTATTAAGCCTCAGAATTATATTTATCAATTTGCATTTAATATATGTATCAATATATTATCTTATAATATATACAAAATGTTTTGTTTATTTCCATTATGCTTTTGTAAGCATAATGTGAGTGTATTGATCCAGCAAAATGTCAGTATTGACAAAAGTTGGTCATGTTCAATAATAGTTAATAATTTTTTCATTCATTCAAATTTTTTTATTAGCAATAAAATATTGTTTATATTTAAGTTTTTTTTTTTTTATTTTACTCTATCAAATTTTTACTATCAATTTTAATTAAATAAAATATTCTATCATAGCAAGTCAAATGGATTTTGAAACTTAAATGTTATAGTAAACCTAAAAGTGTGAATTTCAATTAAATATTTTCCCATCTAAAAATAAATTAGTTAAATACAAAAACTATTGTACYTACAGCCAATCCAGTCATAGACCATAGCCCCACATGATAAGAAATGTAATCATGTTTTTGAGATGTTTTTAACCTAAACCACAATTAGATTAGTGAAATCTATGCATCGTTAATTTTGGTGGTTACAGTGTTTGGTTACTTCTAAACATTTACAATGATTGTGATTAGTAAAGTTTTGGTAAAATCAACCCACAATACAATTTTATTTATTGTATAATGTACCTTGTATGTATCCTGTGTTACTAAAATTTAATCACAATTTATATTATATATTATTTTAACACCATTCAAATGTAAACTATGAAGTCTATATCTATATATATATATATATATGTATATGTATACATTTATTTACTAGCTATTTGTTTAATGGTATCTAAGAATTTTATTGTTATACATTTTATCCAAAAAATATTAGTTATGTAATTTACTATGTATATTTCTTAATTTTAGTTGCAGTTTAGTGACTAGGTTTGTGTAAATGGTGGAAGAATATAAAAACAAATATTGTATTTTATCATTACAAAATCATATTTATTTCATTTCAATTTATTATTGTATTTATTATTATTATTATTATTATTATTACTACTACTTTCTTTAAATTATTTTGTTGCTTTGATAAATTATTTTATTTTAACTATGATTGTATGATATGTATTGTATGATTGAAAAAGTTATGTAAAAACAAAATTCCATTAAATTTATAATTGCAATATATAAATTTATATTAAAGTTAAAATGTATAAATAATAATAATAATAATAATATGAATAATATGAATAACAGATACAGTTGAAATGTATTGACCAATAAAATTAATGTATATTTTTTTAATCAAATTTACTACCCTATGAGTAGTTATATTTTATTTTATTTATTAAATGCACGAAATAT